CCCCCCTAACAAAAAGAGGACAGAATAGCAAAACAAGCACTAGATTTAAGTATAAATACCTAGTTGGATGACGTCAGAAGGTATGTAGAATTAGCCGCCTACTACCTACCTTCAAGTACCTAGAGTAGGGTAGAGACATTTGAAATATGACGTGTGTTGACGTGTGGCGGAATGGTCGGGACTTGGGGTCTACTTCTTGACACTGGCTAGTACTGGGGCCATCAGTCACCTGCTGAGGGACCATGTCTGATGGAGGTTCAATGTTCCGATGTCAGATGCCGTCCACCAAAGTACGACCCGTCAGCGACTAAGTGGACGAGCCACTTGTAGTAGTCTCCAACGGGTAGAGCATTTGTGGTCTGAAGGTTGTAAGCGCCACCGAGGCTGGCAGGTGCGGCAGGTGGTGAATACCCTGAACTAAAGGTGTGTGTGGCTGAAAGCTAGAATGCAATGTCAACGCGTCCACGAACTGTACTTGACGTAAGCATGAGGTCTCGGTAGGTTTTGACTCTATTCGCGTCATGTTCATAAGGCTCTCGCGGTGACTTCAAATGTTGGAAGCTACCTGCTTAGGTACTTGGAGGTATGTTCTCAAATCTCACCCAACCACACGAGGTGCATGCACCTGCCTGTGAAAATGATTGGAGATGCCTATCCCGTACCTTCACACTGTAGTTGACACTGAAGTGACAACTTGATGAAGACTGCGGAGCAAAGAGCCATGGACACCGGGTTGCGCGGATGCACGTTATCAAAGCAAATGGTAAAAGCAACATGATGTTCGGTCATGTGTATGAGGGGATTGGCTGACGCGCCACCTGAAGTGCCGCTCACAGAACGACATCTGGACCCTGATTGCCTGATCATGGGCGACACACACACACTGGTAAGGCAGCTAGCGCCCGCCCACCCATCCGAACAACCTTGAGCATTTGGGCTGAGTTAAACTCCAAGTGTATAGTCTGGGGAGATCCATGGCTGCACATGCGTTCACTTGGTCAGGTGCTGTCAGGTGCTGTCGGGTGTTGTCATAGCTGGCAGGAGCCGTGCCACCGGAAGCCCGGCTGTCCCCACTGCAGTTTCCTAAAACCCTACTATGCCTGGTCTCCTGCATACAATAAATACATACATTGAGTACCTCACTAGAGCTCCGCTGACCGCAAGTTGCATTATGACAGGATTCAAGCTCGGAAGCTTCGGAGGAAGCGGGTGCGCTTCTTTTTTTTTTTCTTCTCATCCTAATGATCCAACCCCCCTGCTGCTTGCTAAGCGATGTGTGATTGATCGTAGTGCTTCGTTATTGTAACCAACTTCGGTTCGGCGCCCACGGGAGTGAAGCCTACCGTCAATGACGTTGTTTTGCTGGCGTATAAGTCGCAAGGCTACCCAAACCAGTGACCACTTCGTTTCATTTCCACCCAACTAATCTGCCAGTCACCGTTCCTGCCATGCTCTTTCGTAGGGATTCGTGTTGATGTTGTGAACTGCCGTCCTCTGGAATTCTTTACTGCTCTCAATCTCTGATACGCTTGGCACAAAAATTTCCCCAGCCTTGGCGGCTACGGCCGAATAAACGGTTCAAATATTCCTCATAACTCTAAACACGACGCCTTAGCCACCGTCTCGAATTAGTTGCCGGTGTTGCACCCGGAATAACCTCGCCAAATGTCGCTACCCGCTGCTTCTTATTTTGCCTCCACAGGCCGTCTTGTGGCTAATGTTCTTCTCCTTGTCGGAATAGTTCATGCCCACGTAGAAATGAAACCCGAACACGGCGGGAATCATACCATGGCAGTGCATGGATCCGATTATCCTCCAACATACTTTGGAACTTCCAATAGCCGGGGTCTGATCTATGGTCACATCTCATTAATGGTGATAGGCTGGGTGTTCGTTTTGCCCGTTGGTAAGTACATGTTTGAAAACGCCCTTTCACTCCCTGGAGTTGTGTTGCCTGGGACTGGGACAGAAGGCCGAGACACGAGTTTCCCCGTCCTGCAGAGCCTCCTGAAATTCTCAGTGCTAATTCTCGTGCAATCACTTAGCCGTCATGCTCTCCATCGCGCATTCTCAGGTAGCTCTAGCGGTACAGTTTGCCTTTCTTGCCGTTAATGCCTTTGGCGTCTTGTTGGGCGTCATGTACAACTCCCAGACTCAAGATTTGTACCCAAACAATGCCCATCACAAAATTGGCTGGATTATTACGGCCGTCATGTTTGCGCAGGTCTTGATACACTTGGTCGGGCGACAAGTAGGTGCTATGGCGGGACGAAGATGCCGTAGTTCAGGTGGACGCAGTTCTGTCTCTCACACGAATTACTGGCAACGGGTACTTATGCAGTACCAGGATAGAGAAAATCGCTTGTCAAACGATAGTGGCCAAGGGACGGAACCTGGAACAGAGTCGCTTCGAAGCAATTCTGTTTCGACGTTGGACGGGGAAGACACGTCATTAAACGACCAACGAAAGGATTTCGAGGGCAGTGAGGCTGAAGAGGATTCCCTTGAATCCGCCGAGATGCCATTCTTGTCGCAGAACTCAATACCAAGAAAAACAATACGTGCCATCTCATCACGTATATGGGTATATCTTGATTTCGTGTACAGAGTTACAGATCGGATAATTCTGCCATTTGGGTTTATCGCGCTGACTACGGGCATCATAACCTTTGGGCGCTTTTTCGTAAGTATACCTCTGGGTTTGCCACCTTGGCCTTCGAAGAAGCTCCAATCTAATGCACTGTGCGTAACATAGGAAGGAAATGCGGTATTCAGTGGATTGGCACACTGGATCAAGGGAGGAGTGTTCTTTTGGCTTGGTCTATTTTCTTTGGGCCGCTGGTCGGGAAGTTTCGCGGACGTGGGTTGGGCGTGGAATCTCAGACCCATCAATTTTCACGAGAAA